CCTCTGGCTCTCTTTTCTGGCTGTCTCTCCTCGCTCTCTACCCTGGTGGTCTCTCCTCTGGCTCTTTTTCCTGATTGTCTCTCTTTTTTCGTTCTGCTGGCTGTCCTTCCTCCCTCTCTCTTCTCCAAAAAAAAATATTGCCATGCATGGCTAGAGTGTTTAGGTTTCCCTTAAAGAAAAGGCATTGACATGGGGCTAGCATAAGGCTGCATAGGCAGCCACCTGAGGGCGCCCAGAGGCCTCACAAAGTCTAGAGCCGCCTCTGGTTGCCAGAACACTAGCGGCCGGGTCGCACACTATCACCAGTTGCCAGAATACTACTGGCTAGCCCGATCAACATCACAGGTTGCCAGAACAATAGCAACTGGGCTGCACACCATCATCAGTTGCTAGGATGCAGGTGGATACACCATAACAAACAATGATGCTGAGGGGCTGCCTGTGTCCTAGCAACCAATGATTTGTTGCTAAGACACTAGCAGCCCCAACCAAAGACGCTGTGCGGCAAAGCAGCAAGCTTCATAGCAACCAATGATGCTGTGCAAACTTCAATGGTGGCATAGGGCCTGTGGAGCAAAGTATGGTGACATGTGTACAAACCCGAGCATCTGCCATGTTAAGTTTTAGGCGGGTGGTAAAAGCGCAGTGTAAATGTGAACAGTGAAGAAGTGGCAGTATAACTCTAAAGGGTCAAAAAATCTTGTCACTCCCCCAGTCAGCGCCTCACTGTGAGCACATGTGCACCACGGCAGAGTCTGATTGGCTGACCCTCCCTTTCTCAGTCTATGACGCTGTACTTTGACTTCTGAGGCACACTTGTGTAAACCTGTACAAAGGTGCATTTATAGGATTCTATATAATCTAACCACACCCCTCATCCCCTACAGACTTCCAACTATATATTTGATATACTCTTTGTGCAAATTCCACTCCACTCAATCAATGTACATTATATATTATGACCAAGGTCCCCCCTCCCCCATAGTACACAAGTCCATGTCCACTGGATCAGCTTGGGACCGGACAGCCGCACACAGGAGGGAGGAGCGAACTCGGCGCATGCGCAGTGCGCTTAGGAAGAGACCCGGGGAACACCATGCGAGTTTCCGCCGTCGTCCGCTGCATGCTGACAGGATTTATATTGTGCAGCCTTCGGGTTGTAGCGACACAGAAGCTCCGGTACCCTCCGAACAAGATAGGTGAGTGGCTCCCTTCATTGGGGTTCCTAGGGGTGGTAAGGAGCAGGCTTGCAATGGGGGTCGGTCTGTTGGTGACCTGGCTGTCAAGGGGGAGCATTGAGTGTAGTGGACAGAGATGGAGAGACAGGGAGGTCGAATCTTCTGCAGGGACAGTTCAATAAGGGGACAGGAGGGGAGTCATGGCGTGCTGAGGGAGGGGAGGTGAAGGATTAATCAGACTTTGCACAATGTAACACAATTTACCCCTATGGGGTGTGTAATGTGTACAGTGTGTCTGGGGACCATGACAAAACCTCCCCCGGGGTTCCCTGAGCAATAGGAACTCACAGATTGTAACCATGGACACCAAGCTGTCAGTAAGGGGCTTCTGAACACCAATCCAAGGCAGTCTGTCTCCACTGACCAGCAAGATAAGGGGGCCCTTCTCCCAATGACCACCAATCCAAGGGAGCCTGTCTCCACTGACCACCAATCCAAGAGAGTCTGTCTCCACTGCCCGGCAAGATAAGGGGGGCTTCTCCCAATGGCCAACAATTTAACGGATTCTGTCTCCACTGACCTTCAAGATAAGGGTGCCTTCTCCCAATAATAAACAATCCAAGGGAGTCTGTCTCCACTGACCATCAAGATAAGGGGGCTTTCTCCCACTGACCACTAATTCAAGGGAGTACATCTCCGTGGTCCATCAAGATAAGGGTGCCCTTCTCCCACTGACCATCAAGATAAGGGAGCTATTCCAATGACTGTCAATAAAGGGCGTCCGTCTCTACTGACAATCAAGATAAGGGGGCCCTTCTCCCACCGACTACCAATCCAAGGGAGTCTGTCTCTACTGACCATCAAGATAAGTATACTTATCTTGTATACTTAACCCAGTATACTGCGCTGAGCCAATCACGGCAGGCTTTGTATTCATTAATACAGGCTTTGTATTCATGAATACAAAGCCTGCCGTGATTGGCTCAGCGCAGTATACTGATGGAACCCGGAAGATTTGTACTATGTACATCCATACCCAGCGTATAAGACGACCCCCCAATTTTCGGGGGATGTTTTTAAGTTTAAAAACCTGTCTTATACGCCGGCAAATACGGTATGGGGTTAAGGCTTTTCCCCATAGTTCTCCTTGGGGTAACGGGAGGACACAAAGTCACAGGTCGGCTAGAACTATGAGGTGAGTGAAAAGCACTCCCCTCATAGTTCTCCTTTAATTTCCTCCTCATTGAAAATAATTTAGTTGTATAAAGAAGATAAATGAGCTGCCATTGCTGGCCTTCTTTGGAAACGTTAGTTGCCTTTCTGCATCTGACTTCCATAGTTCTCAGTCAATGACCCAGAGCAATCGCGTAGCAAAGGAAGGGTAGGAAATTCTGAAACAAAATCACCGCCTGATAGCCAGACAGCGAGCACTTTTAGAAGGACCGGCGATCTTTATACTTCCCTCATGACGGATTTGCTTTTTTTTTTTTTTTTTTTTTTTAAAGCTGATCATATTCAAGAACCTGAAAAATGAATATTAAACTTTTTAACTTGGGTTGACATTGAAAGAATTGCGCTGTTTGTTTTCAGGAAACCCTGCAAGGAACAAGGTTGTGCATTAACCTATAAGGACCAATTGGAATTCATCTTGTTCTTTTCCGGCTTGGAGTAGATCTTTACCCAGTCACCGCTGCCACTGTCAGTATGGCGTTCCAGGGCAAAATGTGCATGTAGACAGGAAGTGAGGGTGGAGGCAATCACCAGCTTTACTATGCAAGAAAAAATAAACAGTAGTATTATATGGGGAGGGGGGGGGGGGGGGGGGGGACAGGGGGGGACAG